CCGTAAGGCTCCAACAACCCAACCGCGATCCGCCACAGCTGAAGGCATGGAGATAAGCAGCAACCATCATACCTTGGTCGGTCAAAGTTTTCGCCACTACAGTACAACAGTTACTAGTAACAATTCCTATTAGTTTGGCACCCCAAAATCTGACCCCCACAACCAACTAAACATGTAGAAAACCTGTAGGAAAAAGGTTACCGAGGGTAGGGTTGTGGGGGTCAGATTTTGGGGTGCCAAACCAGCAGGGAAATTAGAAGTTACTAGTGTCAACCAGTCTGTGAATAACACCGACAATGGTCTTGGGCCATGACCCCGAATCCCAGAACGCCAGCAGAGCGACATGAAGGTGGCTTGATGCTTGCAAGAAAATGGAAGCCATGCATACATGAATCAATTCGTCCCATCATATTGTATATATGATATGATGTTGGACAATTGGTTGAATCGTTCAATTCTTTTCATGGTATGATGATAGTTTCGATCCGGTGAACCAGAGGTGGCATGTCTACAATACAAACACGGGGCGCGGCGAAGTGTCAAATGTTTATCATCGACCAAAGGCAGTTGAATATGGAGCAATGTCTCACGCTGACAATCAGCGCACATGTGTCGTCATGTATTTATTTATGATATGCACATTGAATCCATCACTAATCAGCGACATTGCAGTGACTTGGCAACATTGCCAGGGGCTAAAACAGGTGTAATCATCCCTGTTGCCATTCCCTGGGTGGGGTTGGGGTGCCCCATTTTGTAGTGAACCAACCCCTTTCTCTACAAAATGGCTCCGGTACACAGTCTCCATCCTACAAAATGGTCTGTCTATAACACATGGCTCTACAAAGTGGTTGTGCCTGTCACCTGTTTTGATCCTCAAATATTTTGACAATTTTGTCAAAAAATGATCAAACCAGTGCATTCAGGATCTTATTAAAACATATAAAAATCCCAGGGCCATTTTGTAGAGCATCTATCTTGGCAAGAACTCTGGGGCAAAAACGATACTTTATGTGGACCCGGTGGCAGGGCCTCCACAGGGTCAACCCCTGCCATGGTTGACCCTCGGGAGACCCCTCCACCGGGTCCACATGTTCTAGGTTCGGAAGGCAATTGTAAAGGAGCAAAAACGATACTTTATGTGGACCCGGTGCAACCCCTGCCTTGGTTGACCCTCTGGAAGCCCCTCCACCGGGTCCACGTGTTCTAGGTTCGGAAGGCGCAAAAACGATACTTTATGTAGACCTTGGGCGTCCAAGTTGGCGTTATTCGGAAAGTTGTAGCCTCCATTTTCGGCCATGTTCGACAATCTGGGGAGCTTATGGTGGGCCAAACTGAGGGGCTCCTTGGTCGGTCCCGTAAATTTTAAAGAGCAAGGAGCCCCTTATTTTTGACGGAGGTTGGGCCGTTAGGCGTCCATGTTGGGAGCATTTGGAGCTTGTTGTGACTAATTCACATTTTTTAAACCACCAATCATACCCTTAAAGGCATCGACAAAATTGCTTTTTGTTTGTTACAAAATGGTTTGTCTTGGTGCCCATAAATGATCATGCCTTCAAAATGATAAAATTAAAACCTGGTAAAAGCCACAAATTACCACTTTCCACAGAATGGTGCCTTATAGGCACCCCAACCCCTCCCATTCTGTGGAGGAAATGGCAATGGGGATGTGTAATCAACCGAATTTGACATATGCCCATTTGAACCACCAATGTGTAACAGTGAATAATACTTTTTGCCAGGTTTGCCTAGGCATCCGAAAACAATCGCCAAACAACACATAGTTTCTGCATCATTGTTCTCCTTTTTGCTTGTTTTTGCTTTTTTAAACTCTTTCTCAACATAGAGTCTTAACCATGGCAAGACCAAAAGTCTTACGTATCTAAACCCTGGTCATCTAGACCGCGGCTACGTGTTAGGGATCATTGAGTGTATTGTTATGTGATGTATTGTTATGTAATGTATAGTCTCACACCACCCTTCATTGAGTGTGTCGTTATGTGATGTGATGTATTGTTATGTGATGTAAAGTCTCACACCACCCTTCATTGAGTGTATTGTTATGTGATGTATTGTTAGGTGATGTAAAGTCGCACAACACCCTTCATTGAGTGTATTGTTATGTGATGTAGAGTCTCAGAATTCTATTGTCCGTAACACGGAAGTATTGCTTCCCAACTTCCTTTGATAAATCGTCCACTCTGGTAGGCAGGGAAAAACTTTCTTATTCCTTCTTGGAAAGAGAAAACCCCTGCCGCAAACTACAGACAAAGAGCAGAGAACAAGACAACAGCGTGGGATCTCTGCATGCCAAGGGTGGCCAGCAGAAAGCGGCCACCCCAAAAACCAGCGTAGCTGGATAATCCGCTCGGTCACCAAGGACGCAAGCGCCACGGCAGAGAGCAAGGAGCAAGAGGACACATTCACGAACCTCCCTTTCAACTTGCTCCGATGTCTGGGAGGATTTCCCAGCTATCCATGGTGAGATTTGCCATGAGAACCCGTGGTTTCAACATGTTTCAAACCTAAGATGTCCCATTAAAAAAAATACTTTACTTCGAGTTATCCCCACCATGACATCTATACGTTTTGTTACTGGCAAATCTTCTGGCATTCTATCTGGCATATCTTCTGGCATTTTACCTGGCATATCTTCTGGCATTCTATCTGGCATATCTTCTGGCATTCTACCTGGCATATCTTCTGCAATATGTTCTGGCATACCTTCTAGCATTCTATCTGGCATATCTTCTGGCATATTATCTGGCATTCAATCTGGCATTCTACCTGGCATATCTTCTGCAATATGTTCTGGCATACCTTCTAGCATTCTATCTGGCATATCTTCTGGCATATTATCTGGCATTCAATCTGGCATATCTTCTGGCATTCTACCTGGCATATCTTCTGCAATATGTTCTGGCATACCTTCTAGCATTCTATCTGGCATATCTTCTGGCAAATTATCTGGCATATCTTCTGGCATTCTATCTGGCAAATCTTCTGGCGTTCTGTCTGGCAAACATCTTGGCACTTTATCTGGCATACCTTCTGGCACTCTATCTGACATTCTATCTGGCATACCTTCTGACATTCTATCTGGCATATCTTCTGGCAAACATGCTGGCACTTTATCTGGCATATCTTCTGGCATTCTTTCTGACATTCTATCTGGCCGTTGAGGGCCAGCGGTGCTCACTGAGCTCGGAGGGTCCCAGGTTGAGGTCCAGCGGTGCCCAGTGCGCTCAGACCCTTGCAGTTGAGGTCCAGCAGTGCCCACTGCGTGCGGAAGTTGGCCAAGAGCTTGGCGAAGAGTTGGCAAGGCGGAAGTGAACATGGAAGTGGAGGCAGAGGTGGTGGAGGAGGAGGACGAGGAGGGAGAGGAGGAGAAGGAGAAGAACAACTCTGATAAAATCTAACAACCCTCACCTGGCAGGTGGGGAAAAAAAACACTTGATACCCCCAAGGTTTGTTGATGTAACATCATGTAGTCCTATTATAATCCCATTCAATCCCAGATTAATGGTACTTCACCCGTATATCCCATGGTTGAATCCCACAAACTCGGGTCCTTAAGCACCGCAGATACTCGCGCTGGCTGATGGTACCACTGCCATCCGCATCCGTTTCATTCAGGATCTCTTGCAGAACGGCTTCGGGCAAACTGCAGGTGAGCCATTTGAGGATGGTGCGGATGTCCTCCTGAGCTGATCGTGGACAAAATGGGGGATGTTTTTGCAGCGGTTCAAATGGGGATTCAAGCAACATAGAGATTCAACCAAGACAAGTGATGTTTCAGGGTGTGACATATGTTTGATCATTTGTTGCAACAACAATGCAAGGATTTTATCAACAACATTGGTGATACCCTCTGGTAAACGTTTACATAACTATGGAAAATCACAATTTTTAATGGGAAAACATGGGAAAACTCATTATTTCTATGGCCATTTTTCCATAGCTATTTTGACATAACCAGAGGGTATTTCGTGGGAATATCGAAGGCATAAAACAACATGCCTTGACTTCTCGATGGGCCATGCTCGGACCGGTGAGGAGCTGGGCTGCTTCATCCGTGGAATGTCACTGGCCATGCAACAGGAACCGAGAACGATTGGAGGTATCTAAGGCCTACGTAAGGCAATATCCCCACAAAATATGGCCAAAAATATGGTACTAACGTACCTCCATTTTAGGATCGTGAAATTCCCATTTTGGGCCTATATCCAGTGATGTTTTACCCAACTACGATCACTAGTTAACTAATTCCATGGACAATCTGACAATCTGAGATAATTTCCCCAGCTATCTCCAAAGTATCGGCGGAAATCAATCTATCATTCCCTGGCCAAAGAAATATCCTCCACTAATCAACCATGACAACAGCAATGGAAACTTACCCGGCCTGGTAAACTTACAATTTGGTATTGAAAATGGCCCAGTCGAAATAGTGGATGTACCCATTGAAAATGGTGGATCTTTCCAGTTCGTTATGTAACAGTTTACCAAAGGGTACCTATACCTGGAGGTTTATAGCTGGGAACAACATCCTTTATAAGTAGTGGATTGTCCAGCTCACGTTTGACAGAGGCTAGGTGGCTGAATTTCTCTCCATGGATTGGCTTAAGGGACAATCGAAACCAGAAACGATGGCTTTTTACCATCGAATATCGATTGTTTTCCTGTATTTTTCCCATCATCCAATTCTTTCTGGTCTTTGATCCAAGAAATTTACGGGATTCATCAAACAATTGATCTTTGAAACCATTGGATCACAACTTAAATTCTCTGGTTTTTACGAGTTTTGACCATCAAATCATCCGAGATTTTCCTCTAAATTGTCCAATTTTTCTCATCTTTACCATCAAATCTCGATGATTTTCCTGTAAAACATCCAATTTTTCCCATCATTGTATCACAACAAATTCTCTGGTTTCTACATGTTTTGACCATCAAATCATCCGAGATTTTCCAATTTTTATCAATTGTTCCCAATCATTTTACCATTCGATCCAGGACTCATCCGAGATCTCGCCGCTCTTCTTGGGATCCAAATGGTTGAAGAGTTCCACGTAGCTGTCGTACTCGCTGCTGGTGAAGCCCTCGCGCACCACCAGCAGGTCCTCGGGGTTCCCCCATGGCGGTGGCAGAGGTGATTGGAGATAAATCATTGATTTGTTTTTACTTAAAGGGAGTATAGCATAACTTATATCATTGATAATCAGCATATTGCTTATTCCATAATATTCCATAAATAAAATGTTAAACAATATGTTTATACTTAAACAAAGTGCTTTGGGTTCAAAAAACCAACGGGATATAGTATTAATACAATATTATATATGTATGAATGTATGATTGGATTCAAAATGATGTATGTAAATCTTCGCTTAGTTTCTGTTCGTTTGAGGCATTCGAGCAATCATATTTCCTAAATATTAAAAATCTTGTAACCCCATTATGGACCAAGGCCAAGGCAAATTGATAGCTTGGTATCCAGGATGCTACTGAACATCTTTAAATCATGGTTTGAAGCTGTCTAGGGCCTGCAGGGCATCCAACCTTGAATACACGTGGATAATCATGGCTATATATTAAATATACTCTATATATATATATATATATACGCACTGCAAACTGCGAAAACACAAAGATGTGCCTGGGCAATAGGTATAACATATTACATCATGCAAGGCAACAAACAAGCCATTCACTGAAGCCAAGTCTTACTCATCCTTAGATACATGTTTCTGGGCCATGGGGTGGAAAGAGAGATGTGGAAGTTTCTAGCCGCCCAAAATGAAAATGCCCTTAATGCGGCGTGTTGTTTTCATGTTTTCCCTACCGGGCCAGTGCAGTTGATACAAGTTGTCCGGATATGTCATCTGAATGTTTTTTTCCTAAGATAATGGAAACGGGAAACACGTGGATACCGGGTACCAATCACTGGGTTGATTATCATCAACCCAACTAGGGCCATATTAAAAAGAACAACGCAAACAGCATTGAACAACTATATACATATATAATTACATATACATTGTAAAACAGAACATTGCCGACTCAGGGAATACATATAAACAAGCGCGGAAATCCGCCACCCTCTGTGAGTACCGGTTTCAAGTTGCAACTCAAAAATGCATAGGACGGTTGAAACCCTGGCCTCAAGCAGGAATCGCAACCAGAACTCAATATGTATATATATATATGTATATTGTGAATTGACTTCACACTGGCAGCTGATGTTCCCCCACGACCTCGCACCTGCAGTCTTTTCCAAGCAGCCAGTGGAAGTCTCAAGGTGTTCGCCAAAATGGCGTCCAAGGCTATGAAGCCTAGCAACCTGAAATCCAAGTATGTCGGCCTCGACACACACAACGTAGCGACCGACCGCGGTCAATGGCTTCCAAGATGCTATAACCCTCACCTCCCACCAACAGGCGATCCAAGCCAAATGCAACTGTCATGGATGCAAGTTTGGAACGCTGACCGGTTTGGGAATCTAAGGAACCTGTAAGGGAAATGTAGATGGACAATGACAGGGATCATTGATAATTTCACACTCCCAACAAAAGTTTTACTTTCAACTTTGTGTAGTTTCCGTAGATTTTTCTGTGGCATTCATCCACTTGACTCTGGTTTTTGTAGATGCCCTTTCTTTCAAGATCTGCGCTTCATCATACAAGCAATACTTCCCTTGGGATAAGGTTTGTCGGAGGAAATGACATTCCATTATCTTCGTGAGGGCATCAGCAACTTGGGCTCCACTGTGAACCCACCGGAGTCGGACTCCCTCAGCTAAAAAGTCCTTTATGGCATGTGCTTGGAGTTGTGTTCTGAACTCTTGACAGGATGGCGTGGCAGTTCTTGTGACTAGGTCGAAGAGTGATTTACAATCGGTTACTGCAATTGATGGGTCTTTGAATGTTGCTGTCGCATATGTTGGTGGAAGTTCCTTGAGTGTTTTATTAGCTTGACGCCAATCTGTTTTGGGATCTTTGATCCAACTCCAGAAAAGCCGCAACCATGATAGCTGGTCCAGAGTCGTGCTCAGTGACGTTGTCTCCGCTGACAAAGTGCTTGTAACAACACGCTGAATCTTTTTGCAACCCCAGCTGATTGGGTTTACTGGGCATACATGGTTTTTGCCAATGTCTTCATGCGTGGTCATGATCATGGTTCCTGTATGTGATTCGGGCTGTTTCTTTGACGCAAAAGAGGCATCTGAGAATGCAAGGAATCTGATTTTGTCCATTGGAATTGGTTGGATTCGAATGCATGTGGTTTTGTATCGTTTTGCTTCGTGGAGTATTCTGTTTCCTTGAATTAAGGTGTCAACGGTGGCTTGGTTGATTGCACTCTGCAAGAAGCTCAATCTGCTGGCAAGATCTGGGCGTGTATTGACTGACGCGTACTGCAGCGATCCGATCAGGGCTCGCAGGTCTTGTCTTTCCCTTTCAGTGACTGCAAGTTCCAAATTGGCTTTCCTTTGTGGCTGTATGTGTATTGGGTTAATTTTTGTAACATAGTTTTCTTGGGACATAGTGATACTGTGATCATTGTGTTGAGTCATCTCAATTCCAGTGAAAACAAAGTTTTGGGATTTTCGGGAGCCAAAAGGAAACTTCTTTTCTAATTTCTGGATCTGCCTTTGGAAATAGTCATTCCCCCCACATAGCCCATCATCCACATGGACTCCCAAGATGCCGGCGAGTTCCTTCGTCTCAGGGTCATGAAGGACATATAAGCACGGATCAAAAGGTGATGAAATGAAGCCTAATTCCTTAAGGGTCTTATCCAGCTCAGTGAACCACAGAAACGGTGCATCAATCAGACCATATGCTGACTTGACCAATCTACATACTTCGTTTGGTTTTAGACCCATGGCCTTTGTCATTTCTGGCACAGGCTCTATTGCTATCACTCGATCTTCTTGGGTTTTCCCTTGTAGGAAGGCAGCCTTTATGTCAAATGACATCAGGGACCATCGCATAGAGGCCAACACTTGAGCAATGAGCATTTTGGATGTCCTTCCCAAAGTTGGGCTGTCTCTGGGAATGGTGTCCAGTTGTGGGTCCATGTATAACCAAGCACTACCAGTCTTGCTTTTGCTTTTCTGGATTTCCCTCCTAGTTCCTTCTGTTCTTTGGGATCTTCTATGGGTTTCCAGACATACAACCATCGACATCTTAGAATCTGTTCAGGGGACAGCTCATGTCGGAACATCTTGGCAACAGTCCCTGTTTGAAGCCAATTTCGGACTTCTTTGGTTTTGGCCTCTTCGAACTCCAGTCGCTCGTTTGGATCGAGTGTGCTCAGCTTGACTTCTGTCCGTGCACGTTTACCTGTGGTTGTAAGGTGCACAAACTCTTCTTCTGTTGGCTTCTGAATAGACTGGCACACTTGTTCCACGTGAGTTCGACTGAATTCAAGTTCAGCACGCCAGACGATTTCTTCCCCATTGGGAGCGTTGTCGATCAGGTTGTCATCATCACTGCACAGGAGCAAATCGCATAGCAACTCGTCTTCTGCAACATCTGGAACTGGGATTTCATGAGGTTGGAGTTCAGGGTTATGCTCTTGATTCTGGGATGATTTTGATCCACCATCATTTTCTTCACTGGTGTTAGGGGTTGATGGCATTTCCTCGGGTTCTTGATCTGGCTGTTCGGATGCACTCTGGCTTGTTGGAACTGGTTCCTCATTTTCTGGAATGTTGTTATTGACCCTTGTTATTGGATTGTTATTGGAAACTGTTCTCTGTGAAGGGAGCTCTTGACTGGTTCCATTATTCTGTGGATTGAACATGGATGTGTTCTCAACATGTGGGATTGTTGGCATTTCTATGGGGATAAGTCTTGCCTCGACTGCACTCACCGGACGAATGTGCTCAGGAGCTGCTCTGATGATGGAACCGGCATTGTTGCAGAACACCGTTGATGCATCATCTTGTTTGATCACGCGAGCTGGTCCTACCCATGAACCCTTAAAGTTATGGATTTTCCAAACCATTACCCATTCTCCGGCTTCGTATGCTCCCCTATGTGGACGGTCTCTGCGCAATGCGGCTCTTCGCAATGCCATATCGTTGTCAGCAGCATGAAATGCTCGCCTTGCAGTTTCTCGCATGGCTAGCAGATCCCGGAATTTGACTCCGGCTGAGTCTTCACTGTCAGCAATCGCATGAGCAGGCAGGGTGTCATCGCTGATTATGGAGGCTGGGATCTTCAAACCTTTTCCAAATACCAAGGTATCTGGGGCATATCCATGTCGCAGGCTGCATGAGTTCTTTGCCATAGTGCATTGAGTCAGGGCTTGTTGAAGTTGAGGATAGCTACTTACATCATGTTCCAACTCAAACTTTGACAACATGGATTGAAGAACCCCTCCATGTCTCTCGATCCTGCCACATTGCCAGTGGGCATCTGGCGGAACAACCTCACACTGCACGCACAAGTTTTGAAGAAATTTGGTCAAGGCTTCTGAGACAAATTCCCTTGCAGAGTCCATCAATACTGTGTTTGGTGGTCCTGCCCAATTCAGCCATCCCATTGTGAATCTTTCTTGAATTTCCGCTCGGTTGGGGGCTATGATGGCTGTGTGATAATTTGTCCCATGGTCCAAGAAGTGATAAAAGTGGAATTCTTGCCCCTGTTTATTTAGCCACTTAACCCCATCTATGGATACCTTATCCCCGAAACCTAGCTCTTGCTTGAGTGTGGCTGGTCTTGGAATCTTGGGTCGCTGCTGCATCTGGCAAATGGAGCACTTCAAGTCCAGGACTCCTTGCACTAATGACTGATCATAACCCCGCTGCTGAAGAACTTGGCTAAGCCTTCGTGGGTCCGGGTGACCAAGGTTTTTGTGGAGTCTTAGCGCTAGTTTTCTCATTTCTGGTGACATTGTGAGAAACTTTGGCCCATGATCTTGACTTTTTCCATCGATTTCTTCGGGGGTCCTAGTTTCTTGGACTTCATCTGGACTTGGCATTGGCAGTTCGGGTGCATGTTGAGTCACATCCGGAGACCCATTGGATTGGTCTGCTCTCGCTGGCTCCTGAATTTCGGTTCTTGGCTCTGCTTGGCTGGCTGAAGCGCTTGGAGTCGGCATTTCTGGGTCCGACATTGGGTGATTTCGAGCAAAAGCTGTTATATTCAAGTAGCTTGGATGAGACCGACGCCATTGCTGTCTGGCTGACAAAAACTCCCAATGTTCCCATTGATCCTCTACCATTATCTTCTTGGTGTTTCTCTGAACAATAATGGCTCTTCTGTATGGGGCTTCACTGGGAATCAAGTCTTTTGGAGGCTGTGTGGTTCTCTCGGTGCCCTTGCTTACAACCACTTTGACAATCACCTTTTCAGGGAACAGTTCTTGCATTGCTTCGATTATTTTGGAGTCTTCAATTATCTTACGGCCTACTTTCGGTGCTATAGTAGAAATCTGACTGCATATGCTTTCACATAGGACCTGGTTGGACATGGAGTCCTGTGATTTTTCATGGATCCTACGGCGCTTGGCAGGCATTTCTTGCGGCTCAATCAGGCTACTATTCTGCAGCTTGGCTCTTTTTGCACGGGGGTTTGGGTCTGCCTTGACTGACCGCTTGATTCCCTGCAGGGCGTATGCAGTTTCATCCCAGCAAAGCACTGGAAGTTCTTTCATGTTCTTGACCTTCGTGAGGACCTGTGCAATGCTTCGTGCAAACTTCCTCGTGTAGTTTTCGGAAAACGTAGTTCTCTGAATTCTTTCCCCTTTGTGTATCGTGGATCCCTCAAGTGTTTGATGTTCATGTTGTTGATTGCATTTTCTGCCGTGAAAGTGAAAATAAACTTGTTGAGAAATGGTATTGATTTGCATTCCCTTCTTGATGAGTTTTTGATTCTGTGGATCCTTGAGTTCGCCAACTTTACACATGTCAAACTGTGCTGCATAGGTGCCCTGGGAAATCTCATACAAATACGGCATCTTGAGCATCAAGGATCGGGCTGGTTGCTCCCAATGCAAATGACGCTGGTGAATGCACTGAAATCTGTACAAGACCAGTCCTAAAGCCAATTGAAACCGTGGATCAACAGCTGAAGCAGCAGCTGCTAAGCAAGACTTTTTCAGTCTCGCCTTTGTGCCAACTTTCGTTGGCTTGAGCCATTTTGCAATGGCAGTCATGTTTCATCCTTGCGCAGTGGCCATGCTATGGTTCGTGCATGCCACCACATGTCAACTTCTAAGTTTTTAAAATCCACAGCAGCTGGTGGAATGCTTCATGAATCGCACTCCCCCCCGCAGCTTGCTGCGGAACATCAAAAGTTCAGCCAAAATGGCTTTCGTAGCCCGGCTCTCAGCAGTGCTTCTTCCAGTCTTCATAATTTTCAGGGCTCCTCCTCATTGGCATTGACATCATCGGACTCCTCATCAGTCACCAGAGCCCATTCTTCGACCAGCGGTTGGTAGGATCTTGGGACTGAGGGAGCAGCAGGAGTAGCGCTCGAGCTTGAGGAGGGCACCACAGCAGTGACACCACGTTGAATGACGCCACCACCTCTATTGTAGCCCACAGACATTGGAGCTGCAGACTTGTTGTACGGGCTTGTCGGACCCGCAATTGGTTCTACCTGGAGTTCTCGGGACTCAGCACTGGACATAGTTCCTGTGCCACTAGCTGCAAGACATCCATCTAGGTACAGCTTCCCGATCAAAAGGCCAGGTTCACGGTGAGGTCTTTGACGCCTCGGAGTATGCATTTCATAGTGGCGTCCCACATGCACCTCGAGGTCATCGTCATTGGTGGACTGCTGTTGAGGCCAAGGGGGCCCAGCAGTCACTGTTGCCGGTTCCAGCTGTATGTTCAGGTTGAGGTCATCCATGGCTTCCATTTTCATCTTGAGGAACGTAAACCCCACCCACTGAAACTCAGCTCGAACCACAGGGTCATTCCATTGGTCGGCGACCAGAAAGCCTGGTTCATTTCTTCCATCCACATAGAACGCCTTTGTGATGCGCTCACCTGTGAGGAATTTGGCATCAACTGGCGCACTTCGGTGCAAGGGGTGGAACCTCTGTTTTCGGGCAGCTCTATGGATTCGCACCAGGTAGATGCTTTGGTCACATTTGGTTACGGACCATCCATCTTTCTTTCCACTCCTGCTCGGGGCGCCAAAACGCTCATCCAACCATGGACCTTGTTGAGGCATTTGGTCAAGTTGAGTGCCTCCTGCCTTTTTCATGGCCTTTTCTGCGGCCAGGCGAGCTGGAGGGAACTTTGGCATAGCCCCTATGTAAGGGTCTTGTCGTGCCCGAGAACCATCCGAGCTGGCAGCAGTTGAGGTACCCTGTAATGCGGCAGCACACTGCAGCATCATCGGCGGCGCCTTTCGGCGTACATCAGCAGCAAGCACCGCAGCGGCTTCGCCTGTCGTTTGCGGCGGCAGCGGCGGCACTGGCTTTGACATCTTTGGGGCCATGGCAGCAAGTCGCACGGCCGGAACCCTTAGGCAGCCCGTTGGGCAGTGGTAAGTATCAGCCAACAGTGGCTGCAACAGTTCAGCATTTTCAGAGTCACCACCAACGGACTCAAAACTGTTGTGCGCCATGCCACAGCTGTTTCCTGCCACAAAATCCCCAAAAACGGGACCTTCTTCGGGGTTACTATCCCAAAAATCCCTTTGACTTTCATAGGTTCGATGAGCCCAAAATTGGTTTTTGAGGGGTTCATCCCAAACCTTCCCAAAACTGTTTTCTCCAGGTTCATCTTCCCTTGGAGATCTCACACATTTTTTGGTTTTTATTTGAGGGTTTATGCCTCCAGGTTCATTTTCCCTTGGAGGTTTTTCTTTGGCCGGTTCATCTCCCCTGGCATCTTTTTCACTTTTGAGGCCAATGGCTCTTGATGGTTTTTCCACCTCCCTCCCGTCCAAACAGATCTCTTTGGATCGATCCTCCGATGAAGGCGCAGGGTGCCAGTTGCAAGCCAGCCATCCAGCGCATGCAGCAGCAGCAGTAGCACAGGCCAGCCGCACATCAGCTCGCTCAGCTGCTGAAGACGCCACAGCCAGCGCAGCCATAGCCACGATCACCTTCACCTTGGTCACCACATCATCAGATCCCTTAGTTTCATCAGGTCCTGAAGTGGCGGTTGTTTTGGAAGACCCTTTGGAGGTTTTTTGAGGTGTGTTTTCGGGATCATATTTGGGGATTGACGCATCAACATGAAACCCAAGGAAATGCCAGAACTTAACCCAATCCCTCAACAACGTGATTGGTTTGGTGAGCATGTCAGCGGGAAGGTCAACTCCCCTTTGGTGTCTGACTTTCCATGTTTGGGGGTCACTTTTCAACAACGCACGCAAGCAAGACGAACGAAGCCTCAAATGGCGTGTTCTCCATCCACCATCAGGGTTCATAAGTATGTTAAGTGCACTGGAATTGTCCCCATAAATAACCTTTTCAAACCCATCAAGACCATCACCCATGTTGCATGAACCATGGATAACCTTCAATAGGGCCTCAGCAGATTTCAACATTGTTGTGGCTTCGCAGTATCCAACCAATTCGGATTCCGCTGTGCTCATGGTGTGAAATGCCTGCCGAGTTGCCTCCCACTGAATTGGAGATCCTGCAGCACATAGAATGATGCCCTGGTGACTGCGGTCACCTTGAGGAGCGAAGCTGATATCGGCGAAGGCCTCAATGAGCTTCTCATGCCTTGGTACCTGAAGTGTGCCATGTGCACCGTGGTCCTTGTTGCAAGGGCGGTACAGGAGGCAAGTTTCTGGGGTGTTACACAAAAACCCTAGCACGTGTTGTCCCAACTGTTGGACCCACCTTGGTTTTCTAGTAACATTTCTTCCCATGACACTTACAGCATAGGCTATGTCAGGCCTACTTCTCACAGAAAGCCAAAGCAGTTCACCTGTGATTGCTTGGGCTGCACGGACATCAGGTGTTGTGATATCCGTTTCATCCGTTTCTGAACTGTCCAGTTTTGGCATGGGGCATGACTTTGGGGAAACATGTTCATGACGTTTCAACAACTCAGCAGTGTAAGACTTTTGTCCTACCATCAAACTCACCCCATCATCATGTCGTTTCAACTCAAAACCACAAAACCGGATCCATTCATTTTTGCCAACAGTTTCAACATCGGAACACTTCCATTCTTTTTTCAACCGGTCAAAAAAGGAGTTTCGAACATTGTCATTTGCAAGAGCCATGATGTCGTCCACATAAACAATAACATGACCTTCACATGTTGGTTCGGCATCCCCATGACCATGTTTCATGATTTTCCACAAGTTCCCTTCTTCAGTTCTTTTGAGGGAAAAGTCACAACCATCCATCTTCCATGTGAACCCACTCATGACCTGATCCCTGTGCACGGCCCAATGTGCCGGGCTTGACGTGAACCCATATAAAGCGTTATGAACTCTCCACCGTTCAGAAGGGCTGCAAACTTTGGCTTCCACAAGTATTTTTGGGGGCACAACAATCACTTCCCGGGCATCTTGAGGTTTCGGCCGAGGAGCAAGGAGAAATGCTGTGCGAATGTCGGTAATGCCAGCACCCCATCCCATCTGCACGGAGTGAGCCAGTGTAGCTCTGATCAGAATGCCATCAGCGCCAGAAGCGTAGAGATTGCCCGGAGCTGGATCCAAGTCACTTTGCAGTAGGTTTCCACAAACTACTGCTCTACATTTCTTTTTACCACCATTTGGACCCGCTTTTCGAACAGTCACAAGTTTTCCAGGAACAAACTCAACCGCTTCTTGGTTCAACATGGAAAGGTCAACAGGTTCAATGGCTTTAGTTTCATAGACCAAACTGTTGTATTCTTTCATCATCGCATCTTTCCATTCCGCAAGTTCGTTTCTGACTTCATTCAAAGGGATTGTGGTTGTTTGCAAGACCTCCCCCGGATTCACGGCCATGACATCATCAGTTTGAAGGCCACACATTTTAATAACCCGTTTATTTTGGGCATCACGGACCAGGAACAAGTCATTTTCCAACCGTTCTTTTTCCCCTTGAAGCCATTGGATATCAGCCCCACAAATTTCCCCAAGAGATTTCGTAGTGGGAACAACATCCAACAGGTCTTGTAATGAACTGGAAATGGTTTGATGTTTCCAACCCAAACATTTTTCCAAACAATCCAAAGATTCCAACTTGGCAACAACCCTTGATTTCGATCCCAAACCAAAATTTTCAGGGTTTTTTGGGTAGCCATCTCCCCCGGACCCAGCTTCAACATTCAACCCCTTAACAAACCGTGGTGCCTCCCTAAGGTTTTCTTGGTCGATTTCATCAAAGATCCCCAACATTTCATCCCCATTATCCCCATGTTCACCATCAACCTCAAGAACAACTTCATTTCGGGGTTCATTTTCAGGGATTTTTTCAAGTTGAGAATCCAAAACCAAAGAGGAGTCCCCCCCGCGATCCAATCGCAGCAGTGGCGGCAGTTTCATGGGTGCTGGTCCTGGAGGTGGCTGCTTATGCCAAAGACGCAAGTGAGGTTTGCCAGGCCGCAGGTCTTCTTCGAGTTGCAGTTGGGCTTGATCGCCCAGTGGATCTGGCAGTATGGCCTCACGAGCATGCAAAACATGTTGGTCCTTAGTCGTTCGGACAAGCCAACCTGAAGTCATGTCAGGGCTTGGACACAACAACCGTGTTTCAACAAAAGGTTGAGCCAACAAATTCCCTTTGTCATGCCATCTTTTTCTTTTGACCAAAACCAGGGAATTATACGGCAACATTTTTTGAACAGGGGAACCAAGGAGCTCCATCTGTTGCCTTAGTCGTTCCTCAGTGGCAAATCGCATGGCCTGTGGCCAATGGGTGTTGTCCTGACCTGCCATGTGAAGCAACAGCCTGGTACGCCTTTTAAGTTGGTTCACCTCGGCCTCACAATGGCCGTTACTTTGGGGATCATCACCAGCTGTGAACGTGTGCATCATGTTTCTTTGTGCAACCCATGTCCTAAACTTCCGAGCCAACAGTTCTTTGGCCCTGTCAGAATGAATGCGTGTGACACAGACACCCATGTATCTCATCCTAGTCACCAAAGCATCCATCGCAGGCATCACATGTTTCACATTTCTTGACTCGACAGGTTCCATGAGTGTGACATGACGAACTTTCACAGGTTGAGACAACTCTCCAACAACTTTTTCAAAACTTTTTGACTCCCATTCTTTCAGCTCATCTTCACCCATGATTGAAGGTTCATAGTCAGTTTCATTTCCGTCACCTCCATCATGGTCTTTCACTTTTTCACCATCATCACCTTCAGGGTTTTCCTCTGTTTTTTCGTCCCCCTGAAGGGAGTACTCTTTTTCATCAAGTCCCTCCCCCCAACATGCATCCACAGTTTCCATTGGTTGCGGAGCATCGGAAGACACATCGCCAGCAACAAGTGGCTTTTCGGCAGCTGACGTTTTGTCCCCCGGAGGAGAGTCAAACACCGGAACAAGGGCTGTGGCAACCAAACCATATCTCACAACTTTTTTGGTAGCAAGGTCACGTGCTTTGGGGAGGTTCACCAAATCAACAGACATGGTCCAAGCAGAACTCCCAGCATGTTCCCTACGTCGGTGTGGTTTTGACCCAGCCATGTTAAGTATACATGTCCTACAGTCCCGTCGGTATGGTTGATGTCCTTGGTTGATATGTTGTTTGCATTGATCCAACCCCAAGCTTTTGGACAATTTTGGTGGTGAGATCCCATACCATTCAACCAAAACCAACAAAGACGTTTTGATGGCAGCCCTCAACCCTGGTGCCCAAAGTGACCAAGAGGCAGTTTGGTTCAACCTTTCATCCAAGTTCACCGCCAAGTGTCGTTCACGTTCACCAGAGCGACAGCCATCTAGTTCTTTCATGTCAGGGAGGTTGGTCATACATGTTGTGGGTTTTTTCCGAGTATGCCCAAACGCACCCTGGTCAAAACTGATTAACTCCATTCCATTTGGTTGGAAAGCTTCAAGAAAATCCCTTGTTTCATCCCAAGCCCAAAAACTCGCAGACTCATCCCCTTCACCATTTTGGAGGTAAGTTTTGGGGTCTTGAGGGGATTCCAACATAAATCCAACCCTATTCGCAACATGTTTCATGTGGGGCCATCTTGAACCATCCCATGACTCGTGAGCATGCATGTGCAACCCCAACTGTTTCAGGTACAGCGCAGTGTCACTGTCCGTTTTTTGTTGTTGGGATTCATTGAGGTGTTCAAACCCAAACCTTTCAGGACCATTTCTTGAACGCAACCTTGGTGGTCCTGGTGTTTTTTCCAACAATCTACTCACAGTACGACATGGTGGTCCCCCCAACACAGCTACGACACGACCAGATGCAGCAAGTCGCCAAAGATAGGCCCAAGTTGCAGCATCGTGGACATTCTGACCATCTCGAACGTCCAAGGTGATCATTTCAACGTCAGCAGGCCAACCAAGACTCCAATCCTTAGATGCTTCACCGGCATACAAGTGGATGACAATCGCCTTAGCTTGGGCATGTCGACGCCTTTGGGCACGATTCCAAGGCAAGTGAACCCCTGGAGTGTCAACCCCTTGACCCTTCATGTATCTCCAAATTCTTTTGGGAACATTCGGAAACCTTTGTGACCACCATTCATGCGCAGTCTCAGACACGGTTTCAGGACTTTCAGAAGGGATTCTTTTGGCTAACTCCAAAGACTCAATGTCATGAATCAACCCCAACGCATGTTTTTCAGACACAACAGGACACCCATTTCGCAACCAACACTGAATGGTTCCTCTTGAGGGGTGTTTGATTTCACAACCATGGGTACTCCATTTGATGACAAAACCAAGGTCAATTAATCCCCTTAATGGCACAATGGGTTCAACCGCATGTTCAGTGAGAATGGTCCCCGTCAAAGCATGTTGTTTCAGTTCAACCGACCCATGTGCTAACTCCACAACAACAGGATCAGCTTCAGCCAGTTCTTTTGGGGTTCCCCTTCTCAAAGCGTTTGTTGCCCCACCATCCAAAAGACCTGTGGGTCCATCAGGAGCATTCACCCTTTTGATTTTGACAGCCTTGGCAACCGGTTTAATGGTTTTCAGGAGGGTAGCGGCTTCACTCAACAGCCCAGTGACCCTTTCAGGAGTATTTTCTCCCCCGTCCCCAGTTTCCGGCCCAGTCCTGTACGCAGTTTCAGATCCAAGAGACTTCTCTGCTGCAGCAACATCCCCAGTAGTTTTTTCAGGGCTACTATGTTCCCCAATACCCTTCCCATACTTTTCGGGGTTCCCTTTTCCACTTGGTCTTGACACTTTGGCAACCCTCTTTTTGGTGGGATCAGGTTTTGAGTCAGACCCTGCATTTTTCAAAGGACAATCACGTTTGGAATGGCCGACAGCAGAACAATTGAAACATCTGTTGCTTTGGGGATCCAAATTGGCATGACCAAAAGAACATTGATCACCCCTTTGACACCCCTTTTCACTCATCCAATACCTACAAGGCCTTCTTTTTGAGTTCGGAAACCTTTGATCCGATTCATTTTGGGGGTTTTGGGAGCTTTGAGAATTTTGAGGGATCCCAGGAAGCGGTGGCACACCCAAAGCAGCAGCCCTCACAGCCGAAGTTGCCTTCGCAGGCGTGCTCAAAGTCAGCTCTTCAGCTTCAGCTTGCAGATGCTCGGAGTAGCTCAAGATCGTCTCTGCTGTTGGCAACTGATCCACATTCAACTGCTGGCGGATCATGTTGAGACGATATGCCACTTGTGGGGATTTTCCACTCAAAACATCAGTACATTTGTTCAAAGCCCCTAACAAAACCAAACCATCAGGCAACGTGACATGGAGTTCCCTGGCCCTTTGAACAAACCGTCGCCAGGTTCGAATCCAGTCCAAAACTTCATGAACATTGGAACCACATTTGGAGTCCGTAAGGTTCTGCAACAACTTTGTGCGTTCAGTGGCACCTCCCGGTTGGAAGGTGATGCACAACTTGTGCAACACTTGGTCAGTGGTCAGTTTGCGAGCTGAAATCACCTCTTCTTTGATGGGGTCAGGAATGGCTCCCAAAAGCATAGCTAAGGCCCTTCTCTCCGTTCGAGGCCACAATTGAACCCTGGGATCCACTTGTGGACGAAGCCTAAGCCTTTCAATTGGTCCAACATTCAACCAATCCCTGTAACATTGATCAACAGCTCCCCTGACCATGGTCCACCAATCCCCCGACGAGTAAGACAAGTCACCCATGAGAGAATCGATGATACTGAGCCAATCACCAAATTGCAGAGCAGTGGCATCCATTGACAACTTCGGAAGCCCCACCGTCCTAAGATTTTCAGATGGATTTTCACCACCTGAGTTTTGCAAGGTTCCTGCCACAGACGCAGGAAAAGGCGGCAGTGCAGGTGGCATTTGAGGTGTTACCGACCCTAACCCACATACACTATTCAACATTCTTGGCGGTGATGGTGGTGGAGGTCCAGGTGGTGGCCTAGGCACAAATGGTTCAACAACATTTGACACAGTTGGCACTACAACTTCAGGTGCAACCCTCGTGAACGTCACAGCCTTTTCAGGTACAACCCTCACATTTGGATCATGAACCAATTGGGGTTCAACCACATCATGAGATTTGGGGGCAACAGGCTCTTGGAAATCCACTGCCGAAACATATGAACTTTGGGAACCATGCGACCCTTTTTCGTTCTCATGCTTTTCAACCCTTGACTCCTTAGCACTCATCCCCATATTCAACAAACCCTGCCGAAACTTTTCTTCAGCATCTCTCAAACAACGCAATCGGAACAGTTCAATTGGATCCATTTCAACATCAACACTTTCCCTTTGTCCCACATGAACTTTTTGGGGTGTCGACGCATTTGAACCCGGCTGCAAACCCAAGGCACTCACATCGTACCCAGGCCCGAATGCTTCTCGAACAGCTTCACGCTGCTGAGTTTCGCTCCAGAAGGGATTCGCAACACTCCCCATGTGGTCTGGAACCACAACAACATTTTCGGTGCCCTGAGGCGCCACAACAACGGCTCCGGAGCCCTGAGGCCCATCACCTATGTAAAACCTTTGAACCCCTGAACCCTTCACATTGGAGCCCTGAGGCATGGTTTCACTCACAACACCCGAACCCTTTCCAGTGGGACCCGGTGACACATTTTGACAACCCTCAGAACCCCTCACCTGTGAGCCCTGAGACACATTTTCACAACCAAAACCCCTCATGCGTGAGTCTTGGGACACAGTTTCACAACCCTCAGAACCCCTCACATGTGAGCCCTGAGACACATTTTCACAAACAGAACTCCTCATTCGTGAGCCCTGCGACACAGTTTCACAAACAGAACCCCTCATTCGTGAGTCCTGCGACACATTTTCAACACCCTCAGAACCCCTCACACGTGAGCTCTGCACATCCCGGTTTGAGTGTTGTGCTTCTGCGGCAACAGTTTTTCTGGGTTCCCTTCTGCCAGACTCAGAGCTAGACCCCTTTCCCTTACCAGCACCATCTCTAGGACTATGTTCATTCACAATCCCCTGCACTGATTCGGTGGTAGTTCCAGTCCCCTCATTTGGTGGGTTCCGAGTTTGTTGCTCTGTCACAACGACCCTTTTGACACCAGGTGTGTTTTCAACGTTTTGTTTCACCAAGGTTTTTAACCCTTGTTTCACCAACCAACATTGGAGGTTCCCCAGGAGAGAACGACAACGGTGGGCCCACAGGTCCTAGAGCATCCAGCATTCCCCCACTACTTCTATTGGTATTGGGTTCTAAAGCTTTTTGCCCCTCATCCCCATGGCCAGACCCAGTTGCTTCATCCAGCATCCGCTGCATCATCTCATCGGCGCATTCTGCCGCAGCAGCCGCATTCACAGCAGCAGCAGCCCGGCGCTGCACCGAGGACTCTCGCCTTGAAGAAAGCTCCATGTCAGCAGTGATCCAACGTTGGGCTCATAACCCGTGGATCAACAGCTGAAGCAGCAGCTGCTAAGCAAGACTTTTTCAGTCTCGCCTTTGTGCCAACTTTCGTTGGCTTGAGCCATTTTGCAATGGCAGTCATGCTTCATCCTTGCGCAGTGGCCATGCTATGGTTCGTGCATGCCACCACATGTCAACTTCTAAGTTTTTAAAATCCACAGCAGCTGGTGGAATGCTTCATGAATCGCAGAAACAAATGCTTGTCTCTCTGCTCTTGGACATGCTGAAATCCGGCTGCACTTTGGGATTCATTAAACACACTCCATGCACACCAGGGTCCACATGTGGGACTAAACCAGATATGCTGAGGCCGTTCTTCAAGGATAGTCTGAAACAGCCTTCTTCGACTGTCTTTGAGAGATAAATCCCCTTCTTGAATCCCATGGCGGCTGGCTCGATATCCTAGTTTGTTGACTTGTCGGGTCAACTCACTGTCGGCGCTGCAGAAAACTTCAAGCACTTGGAGTTTTGGCCGTTGTCGGAGACCTTTCCAGTTTGACACTTCCTGCAACTCTTTAGTGAACTGGTGCACCAACTCTTGAAACTTTTTGTGACGTGAGTTCATGTGATGTGTTTGATGGTGATCATGATCAAAGTCTTTACCCCAGTCTCCGGCATTTAGGATGTGATCTACGGGGCTGGCTGATTGGCTTGGCGCACATGATTCAGGATCTCCCCCATCACGTTCTCCATGTTTAGCACCCGGCTTTGCAGAGCATCGATCATCTCCTGTTGTGGGCCGTTCATGATGGCCGCTTGAGTCATGGTGTCCATGACATCCCATGGATCGTCCATCTCTGTCATGACCTCTGTCGCGGCAGTCATCATTGCTGGCATCGGGGCGGCTTTGCTCTTGGGCTGGACTTTTGGACACGGACGGATCACTTCTTGTGCACCTTCCTGGAGTGGCGCCATCTCGTAGATCTCCTCGTGCTGTGCTACCATGGCTTCCACATAGGCCAACATCTTTCGATGTTCGTCCTTCTGACTGTCTCCGTACGTCTTGGAGAACCAGCGAATCCACCCCTTTTCGTCTCTCCACATCTCGGCATAGGTCTTCCCGATGTGGGACTTTCCAAACGTCACTTTGTGCCCACCCATCTCTTCGAGGCTCAGTTGGCGGAAGGTTTCCACACTGTCCGTGCTTCCCTGAGCCAACACTCGATCTAAGCGGCTGGACCGGCTGGTGGCCATGGTTCTGAGTGGACCGAACAGCTTGGATGAACTTGGGCGACAATGGTTTGGGCCGAGGTGTCTCAGCATTCACTTCGGTCACATCACCTGTGGCACTTCGACATGTTTGGTGAACTGTGGCATGTTGACTGGATTTTGCAGGGGCACTGAAATTACAACGTGATACTTCATGTGGCATGTTCATGTGAGTTGCACTGGATTCATGATTAAGCATGTCTGGCATGTTGGCATTGATGTCACTGGTGGCATTTCGGACGGTGGAAGCTTCTGAGCTGGCTTCTGGCTTTTGACTCATGGAAAAATCACTGCTCAGAAAAGTTTCGGCTGGCAAACGGTCTCTGACACTTGACTGTCCCCTCTGTGCGGTTATCATGTCATTTATGTCTAACATGTACAACCCTCTTGGACTGAGTTTCAATGGCACGGCTGCATCAAGGAGAGGACTGGTCAAGACCTGTCGATTGCTGTCTATGCTTGCCTTGAGAGTTCTCACTGACGTATTGGAAAGCAACAGTGGTGTCTCACCTGGTACAATGGCAACTTTGAGTCCAAGTCCTATTGAGTTCAAAGGGATTACCAATGCATGTGCGCTATCCAATGTTCCTTGGTTTCCAAAACGGAAGGTGATTTCACATTTGGTGCGGCTCAATTGACGTTGCACCTCCTTTGGAAAGCTCTCAATCAGGGCAGGCAAATGTCTACTTCCAATCACGGACTTTGTGGCACCAGTGTCTAAGATGCCTAGAGCGCCGTGAGCTGTGAAAAATGCCACCTCATCAGCGGCTGCATCACGATTCGGCTGCATCAGAACAGGCTTGGCGGGACGGACATCAGTCCTGGGCATTGAGTGCTTCGTACTGCTGGTTTTACGGACTGTTACCCCATTAGCCCTTTTACGGATACGTTCCCAAACTTCATGGGAAACATCTTGAACAACATTAATTACTTGCAAACTCGGCACATCTAGTGAAGTCTCATGAACCACAGGCAGTTGGATAAACTCCATCGGCATAGCGTAGGGCTCACCATCGAGGGACACTGCTTCGGCTGTCATTGCGGCTGACGTGCTGGGTGTTCCACTGGAGGTTGCATTGCGCTGTCGATCAGGACATTCAGCTCTCCAGTGACCTTTCTTTCCACAATTCCTGCATGTACTTTCCATGATTCGTTGCTGAAGACTTTTCCGAGGACCACGACCAAATGATCGACCCTTCCCTTTGCTGGATCCGGCAAACTTGGATTTGCCTTTGCCACTTCCAATTGGCCAGAAACCACGGTTCTTGAAACGGTCTGAAAGTCTCTTGCGGGCCTCACTATATGAGGTGAAAGCTGAAGCTAAGTCCTCATCCGATTGCAGCGTGTCCGCTGCGGCAGATTCGTAATCAGCTATCAGCACGGCATCTTCATCTTCATCATGCAACAATTGATCAAAGAAGTCATCTTCGCCCAGTTCATCAGCTACGAATGCATGACCTTCGGTCTCTTCACCAGTTACATCCTCACTCAAATGGACATGTTGATCGTAGATCTTTCCCTTGGCCTTTTTGGCTCCGATCATATCATTGAAAAACGACGTTCCTAACATCCTTACTGCCTGACTCACCTTTTCTACAGTGAGTGCACCAGTGGACGCTGATTCGCTTTCAAGGATGACCCTCTTTTTGTCCTCCGTACTCAGAAGCGAACCTCGTAGTACAATGTAAGCATGCACCTGATCTAAATCAATCTTTTTGGATTTGAGTTCCGACCAGACTACATCGCACCTTGCAAGAAATGAGTCATTTGATTCATCCTGTCGTTGAGTGCATCTGAACAGGGCCTTCTCGACGATCTCATAGGTTTTCTCTAGGTTCACCTTGCCCCACTGACCTCCCAAGGTGGTGATCAGGAGCTGGGTGCCATTTTTGTCACCTGTCATCAGTTTGGCACGGTTCAGTTGAAGTTTCTGGAAAGCACTACCTGACGTATTCAGAATCAATCTGGTGATCAACTCATTCATCTTGTTGGAGGGCCAGATTTCGCTGAGAAGCTCAACCTTTTGTGCGTACTGTTCTAGATCATCTTTGGAGGGATCGAAGCTAGGCACAAGCATTGCCATCTGTGTCGAGGTTGCAGTGTTCCCCTCGGTAGATTCTCCGTCATTCTGTGAAGACATTCCCACAACACCAAGATGTGTTTTGTAAATCCCCGGAGCGTTGTTTTGGTAGCTCCGCTACCAGTGTGAATTGACTTCACACTGGCAGCTGATGTTCCCCCACGACCTCGCACCTGCAGTCTTTTCCAAGCAGCCAGTGGAAGTCTCAAGGTGTTCGCCAAAATGGCGTCCAAGGCTATGAAGCCTAGCAACCTGAAATCCAAGTATGTCGGCCTCGACACACACAACGTAGCGACCGACCGCGGTCAATGGCTTCCAAGATGCTATAACCCTCACCTCCCACCAACAGGCGATCCAAGCCAAATGCAACTGTCATGGATGCAAGTTTGGAACGCTGACCGGTTTGGGAATCTAAGGAACCTGTAAGGGAAATGTAGATGGACAATGACAGGGATCATTGATAATTTCACAGTATATATATGTATATATATGTGTGTGTATATAATTAAACATATATATATATATTGTATATATATACTACATATATTGTATATATATAGTATATATATATGTTGTATATATATATATTGTATATATATATATTGTATATATATATAAATATTGTATATATATATTGTATATATATATATGTATATTTGTTGTATATATATATATATATTGTAAATATTTTTGTATATATATATATTATATGTATATATATATTGTATATATATATTGTAAATATATATTGTAAATATATATGATATATATATATGATATATATATATATATATGATATGTATACATATATATACACCTGTGTAAATGTTGCCAGCCAACCCCAATCAAAATTAAGCAAGCAACAGGAACCTTACCATTCCAACGTTTAAACCCAAAATCTTCTGGGCCATCAGCGACATGGCTGCCGGGAGGCCATGAGGTGCTTGAATTCTTTAAACTCCAGTTCCTGTCATCGGAAAAATGAGGAGATCATGATGCGCCATAGAACGACGCGAAAAACATCATGAAGAGTGAACGAGCTTAGAGATTGTATATAAAATATTGTCAACATGATATTGAACATTGAACAACTGAGACAAACGTTTTTTTCTTTTCCGTGGCATTTTAACGAAAATCCAGGCCCTCTGACGTGGGGACGTGGGGCCGTGGGGTCTGGCAAGCTGGACCAATCTTCACCGTGTGGTGACACATTCCAAAAGCATGCTAGGTTGACCCACACAAACAACATATCCAATATTGTCCAATGTTGCTTACCAAACAGAAATATCACATCATATCATTACCATATCACATAATCTTGTCCAATGCCCTAGACATATCGACTCGAGAGATGACTCGAGTGACTCATATCATGTTTGAGCACCAGAACAAGCAGCCGAATGGCATTCTCAATGCTCCCGAAATCGTCAAATGGATCTGGGCCACACTGGGGTGCACACGAACTTGTTCGTTCCCCGCTTCTACAGTTAGCAAACACATGAAGTTCCATTAAAAATATCATCAATTTCCGTCAACAAATATTGATTTTTGCCAAGTTCTGCTGAGAAACCTCTTGATACCCTCCAGTAAACTAACATAGCTATTGAAAATGGCAATTTATAGCTGAATTACCCATTAAACATTGTGATTTTCCATAGCATTAGTTTACCAGAGGGTATTAACTGTTATCGAGCTCTATACGCTAACCACAATCTTTATATAGTTGGTACCCAGCCTTTCCAGTGAACCCCCTTCCCCGTTTTCCAGGTGCGACCAAGGCTCCCCATTGCCATCGTCCACTTCCCGAATCACTTCATCCAAAACGTGCGACCTGAGCGTTTTGGCAACGATTGAAACACATCTTGCCCAAAAGAAACAGCACAGGCCTGGAAAACTGGTTTTATACAAAGGGTATTATGAACACACACACACATGTGTATATATATATGTATATTATATACATATATGAATAAATATATATATATATATATGTATATACATACTGGGATATAGCCAAATTTGTATGGTGTATGTATAACCAACTTCATATATCTTGGGGGTAATTCGGAATTCTTGAGTCATCTCCAGTCCAATGCCAGGCCAAGATTAAGAGCCAGTTGGAGTGATATTAGTGTGAAACTGGAACACTAACTAGCACTACTATATATGTCAAAATTTTCTGGTTGGTGGTTTTAACTCCTCTGAAAAATATGATCATGAAATTCCCAACCAGATGGAAAAATCAAATTCATGTTCCAAACCACCAACCAGTTTTGGTATACCTCTAAATGGCATGTGTTTCAATTGTTTCCATAGGATTCAATGGGTCAAATTATTATAATTCAGAGGATTTGGGGGGACTCTATCAAACAAACAAACCCATATCAATTAATTATGGAATTGTCAAGGACCAGGCCCCGCTTCCAAAACCCCGGTTGATCCGTGGCAGAAGTGACGCCAAAATTTGGGTTGTTTCGAGTCTCAGCCAAGGCTTGCAAACATGCGCAAGGCTTGCAAGGCTTGAAGTAACAAGAAAATGAAAAACCGCTGGCAATTTGTCACAGAACAACGGAAACACAACAGTGAAAGTGAAAAAACACCATCTCAATTGGTAAATGATCGAACTCTGCAAATGGGCCATGATGGCCATGTTGGCCATGGCTTCCAAATTGGCAAACTTCTGCATTCTTCTCCTAAACCATAGAATTATTTGGTAAAAATAACGTAAAATAGTTCGGAAAATAAGGAGAATCATCAATGCATATTTCCCATTCATATCCCATTATTCCAAACAACCAAATTATTTGCCAGAAAGGCGGTATGCCTAAGGTAAACAGTAAACATGAAAAACAAAAAGTGGCAAAGCCACGATTTCCCGTTCGGAAAATGATGTGCACTTTGCTGACTTTTTCCCACATCAAATATCCCATTCATATTAGGACATATCATCCATTCATATTCCATATCCCATTCGTATCCCGTTCATATCCCATTCATATTCGCAGTGATCGGATCCATTATTCAAGTACTATAATTAGTGATATCCAAATACAAATACTCGGATCTCCTTTTATTCATATGGGGTTTGTCTTAAAATAGGCTACAGTACCAACAAATCCCATGGTTAATCATCATTTTCCCTATTAAACTGCCAAGTGGGGGCCTACTAACAATTTTCAAACACATCCAAATACTATATGATTATCCCCCATTTATATCCCTATAAAATAGTTGGTTCATGTTGATACACCACAATTTTCCCACTAAAAAGGTGAGCTTCACGGCCGTGTCACATAGGTTCGATGCCCAACTTCTGCAGCATCTCGGCTAGCTCTCCAGCCTTCCAGTTTCAAAGCTGCAACTGGTTGGTGCTATACCTACCCCTCTGAAAAAAGATTAGTCAGTTGGGATGATTATTCCCAATATATGGAAACTACAATTTCTCCTGCTTTGGATGATATGTACCTGGTTGGTGTTGCAATAACAATCTTGAAAAATATGCGTTCGTCAATGGGAAGGATTATCCCATATATGAAATGGAAAACAAAAACATGTTCCAAACCACCAGCCAAACAATTTCTCCTGCGGATGATATGTACATATAAATGCTAAATATTATGTACCTGATGGAAGAAGCTGTGCAACTCAACCTCGGTGGCTTCAACGATGTTCGCTACTGATCCCTCTTTGAAGATGTAAACCAATGTGGGTACCCTCTGGTAAACTGTCACATATCATAACTATGGAAAATCTCCACTTATAGTGAATTTTCCCATGAAACATGGGGATGTTCCATAGTTATGTTAGTTTACCAAGGGGTAATTACCCACAATCAATGGATGACATATTAAAAACACAAAAGAGAACATATAGAGTTGTCATGGAAAATGCCATGACAATATCGCATGAATATGAACACCCCTAGATACAGTAGATACAGTAGTTATCCATGGAAAATCACCATTTTCAATGGGTAAATCCACCATAAAAGATCATCAAAGGCCATTTTCAATAGCTATTTTGACATAACCAGAGGGTATCCATGAATCTTCCATGAATCTATCGCTACTTTCATGCCATTTGGGTCATTTCTGGAGGCCGGCCGCCTCCATGGTGCCGGAGTTGTCCAAATCCGCTTCTTCAAAGGTGCCTATGGGACTAAGGTGCTGGGAAGAGTGGGAAACCCCCAAGATCTATGGTATACATAGCTATTAATCATGCTATATGGTAATTATCCAAGATCTAGTTAATAAGATATATGGTATCTTCATATATGAATGGTAATTATCCATAGATACACCGTAATTAGATATTGGGGTAATATCCATTATAATATCCATTATAATATCCATTATGTATATATATATATATGTGATATACTATTAATAATATATATATGTATATATACTACTATAGAATGGTAATATCCATTGTATCTTATTAACCAGTGAATCACCAGTATTAAACTAACATAGCATTAAACTAACATAGCTATTGAAGGTATGGTCCGTTTATAGTTGATTTACCGTAATGAAGAGTGGTGGTTTTCTGTCGTTTTTTCTATGTTTCGGGATCGGGGTACCAACCAGAGAATGAGACGAGGTGATCATCGAAGAATAAAGGATCCCCATACTATGTGCACCTGGATAGTTATATATAGTTTACAGTTGCTTTATACCACCATATGGATCCATTTGAGCCCACAGCTGGGTAACTTATGATATAACTATGTTTCATCATTTTTTTCTTGGTCAAATCCCAATTTTTTGTTGCTTAAGTATTAAGTTCCCATTTCTGGTGACGCCACTGAAGGACCTCGTTTTCAGCGTTTTCGGCCAAGGGGCTCTTGTAGAAGTTGTCCTGTCGCGCTTCGTAGCCCTTTACGAAGTTCAAGAACTCTTCCAGCTCCTTGCTGCGGATCCAGGTGGGAGAAGCTGGGTATTGGAGGATCATGCATGTTAGCTTAATCAGAATGCCAATCATATCTATTGGAAAATGGCCATTGGGTAATATCCAATAATCAATATCAATATCATATCAATATCAATAAACCTATCAATCATATATCCAATAATCATCATATCCCATCATATGATTATTGGTTAACATAAATGTTAGACCATAATATCCAAGCTTGGTATTATACTATCCAGGATGGAATGCCAATCATATCCAATAATCATGTTGTTTAATGCTGATACTGTAATAGCTTGTAACCAACTATATCCAACTCATACTGTAGCTTGAGTGACGCCAGCTGTGCGACGCCCACCGAATATCCATTCCAACAGCTAGCCTCCAGTTTGTGACAGTTGGCTAACTGGAAAACCATGTTTTGTTGATGGTGATCTCATCATTTTCCAATATGTTCCATTTAAAGTTGGGGTAGCCGATAAACATCACTGCGTAGGCGTAGGCAATTCATGGCAATTCCCCGAATTGCTAGAGCCATGCTTATCCTGCTGAACTACATGGTGGAGTGACCCTCCACAAGTCGAGGGTTGAAATCTCAAGCCTTTAATCAACCCTTGAAAATGGAACTTTCATCAATATCACCCCCTCCCCCCAAAAAAAACATGTACCCTCTGGTAATTGAATATAGCTAGTGAAAATCACCACTTCTGTTTTTGCTCAACCATCGAACCCAAGGGGCCATATCCATGCTACCACAATAACTTCACGTCACCAAGATTCTAAGGTGGAATACTTCGTGATAGCATCACCTTCCGAGAAAGGCTGGGAATCCCTGCGCCAAACATAAATCCTACCCCGTTAGTATTGAACACCCCCGAAATTGTCCCAAGGAAATCCCTACTACAACAACTGGTTGGTGGTTGACCTACCCCCCCCCCGGAAAAATATGAAAGTCAGTTGGGATGATATGGAACAATCAAATTCATGTTCCAAACCACCAAACAGATAAAGCATGTTTTTTGGGGGTGTTTGGAGAGGCTATTTCTGAAAGAGCAAGAACATCAGCATTATGGACCTACGACTGAACAGAGATTTTCCATAGGTTCAACGCTGGAAATTGTCCAGCACTGTGATCATCGCTTGACATCGCAAGGATCGCTCCCTTGACACCCAAGGATCCTTCATTTATGACCCTTTGTTGTTGACGTGCATATGTTCATATGTTCAACATCGCCATCATTGGTGAGATCGGCCAGACGGCCAAATCATATAGAATCTACCTACTAGAGGTATCCATATTATCCATGTTCTAAATCCACCATTTCTGGGACTACCCTCTGGTAAACATACAAAACACTATGGAAAATCAGCATTGTTAATGGGAAAACTCACTATTTCAATGGTCATTTTCAATAGCTATTTTGACATAACCAGAGGGTATCTTTCTGTTGTCCAAACGCCGAAACACAAGCGCTGTCCACCCAGGATTGTCGAATGCCCACGAACCCGCACAACCTGGGCGCGAGGCTCGAAGCAATTTCTGTCGCATAGCCTCTGTGTTAAATGTATATGCTCCAACAGGGATGATAATGGTAGATAGATATATATATATATGTGTGTTTTTTTTAAATATATATATATATATAATATTGACGGATGACATAATATAATATATCCATCTTTAATCTTATATAACATATATATATATATATTGTTTTTTTGATGGGTAAGTAATAAGACAATAATGGGATCTATAAATAATATATATATATATATATACATATTTATATTGATGGATGAGTAGTAAGACAATCATGTTGGATTTTAAGGCGTACCAGTACATACCCTCCGGTCATCTGCAATCAACGGGAGTATCAAATCATGAGTTTCGACTGCCACAAAAAAACAGTGCACTTTCCTGTTGTATGATTGACATGGAGATGCCAACCTTGTTTCCGAGATTTCCGGAGGTATTAAGTGCCAAAATCATCAGGGACCCCGTGAAAATGCGAATGTCTACACTACATATATGTCAATGGTGGTATCAGTGGGCAACTCCTCCATTTCTGTAGCAAACATTGCCGTATTCACAAACCAAGAACTGGACACATTTCAGATTTAAGCGTGAATGTTTTTGGATACAGTTGTTTATTATTATTATATTATTATTATTATTTTATGATGATGATTATTATTTTATTATTATGAGTATTATTTGTTGGGATAATGCACAGCAAATCGCCATTTCAGTGGGTTATCTATTTTTTGATCGTAAACTCCCCATTTTGCATGGCCAAATCCATCCCCTTTTCCAGCATCCACAACCCCTGCCGCTGTTCGGTTGCTGAGACGCTCCAACCCTTTTGGCAGTTCGTCACGGTGCACTTCGTTGTGATCCTGGAGTTTATTGAAGACCTAAGCTCCATAGGGCTGCGCAGTACTTGGTTGACCCCAGACACCACCCAAAAAAACAGTGGTATACATATAAATTATATAATAATAATAATAAATGTTAATAATAATAAATAAATAATGTATATATATATATATATATATTATATATATACTGCGTACTCATGGATGACATGAATACTATGCATTGACATAAACACTTACCGCAACTTGCTTTTTAAACCTGTTCTTGACTCCTTCAAGCCCTGAAGGTTGATTCGAAAGTCTGCTTGGTTCCGCGTTTTGTTTGAGATATTATAGTCATCACATACATCATGCAACAAAACCAACACGGGGGAGATGAATCTAAAGAATCAGAACCTACCAAAAAGAGTGACAACACATACAATAACACCAAATGCATCCAGTACCCCAAAAATTGGAGTCACCAGGAAATGTAAGCCCACAAAGCTACCTGCTTTAACCAATGGGTGCTTGGCACTCACACACTGTTTTTTTCCCTCTCATCTATGTATACCCGCATTCTTGACATGTCGGATGGTAGCCATCCCGTCTCGAAAGTAGTCTCAACCAGGGTATATCATGTCCAAGGGGTGATTTTTGTTGTGCGGAACAATCCAACTTTTGCATTAAACCCAAACCACATCAACTATTCTACTTCTAGGTCAGACCTAGATGTTCAGTGCAGAATTCCCAACATACGGGTATGGTTGCACAAATTGAATGGCGAATACTACACTCACCAACATTTACCAAAATCTCTGGTCCTGCGGGCATGTAATTTTGACCATACCCATATCGAACCAATATATTTCCACTATGTTTCCCTGTTTTGTTGCATTTCGGTGCTTAAAATCCGATCTATTTGCTGGTTCGAATCACCATTCTTGTTCCAGCTAAGTCAGTTTTACCAGTCACTCCATTGGTCTTTTCGGGAGAATTTACAGGAAACTTCTATATTTGATGCGGAAAACGCATGGTTTCTGGTTTCGATGTTCCCTTTAACCAATCCACTTCACCGGCAGTTTCAAGATCCTCAATGGTTCTACGAAGGGACGCTGACGCGCACATCTTCCTTGGCGTTCAGGATCATCTCCTCTCTCATCTCAGCGGAGCTTTGCCGCTTGTGACCACCTGGTTGGACATTGGAAATGTTTGAAGAGGTGTGTTTTGGATATAATAATCATAGTACTCTAATTACAACTAATCACACTAAAGAGGTGTGTGTTTTTATTAGGTTATATTCATGTTTGGATATATGCTACTACTATAATTTAACACCATGAAACATCTCTCTCCCTATATATAAATATGTGTATCTATATTTATAGGTTTGTTGCTGAACACTAAAAACACATTATATAATGTATTCATCAAATAGGCGTCTGACCCAATCCCAAGACTTCCTGAATGGAGGGCTGCCCGCGCCAATTCGCCCATGGGAAGTGCCCGGCCATGAGTGACACACAGCATTGGGATTTAAGCAGCGACATACGGGAGATTATAATTTTGGTATTGAACAAACAATTCTTAGTCCTGGTTGGTGCTGGGGGTATGAATCACATTAAAAACCCTTGTGATCTTCCAACATCCTGCTGGGAACATGCAATGGATCTCCCCACATCACATGCATCATCCAATGGTACACTTCCCGACTGGTCAAGGGGATGGGATACTTACAACATCTTGAAACCGTAGCTCAAGTACTCACAGAAGGTGCTTGGAACCACATGGAAGGAACACATCTACAACATCCTGAAACAAAAAATGAACAGATTAGGGTCTCTGAAACTTTATGTCAGTTGAGGGCCTTGTAGATTTTATCTTAGTATTATATTTTGGTACCATCATGCGCTTCCATTTTGGTACCACTATGCGCTTCCATTTTGGTACCACTATGCGCTTCCATTTTGGTAACACTATGCGCTTCCATTTTGGTACCGCTATGCGCTTCCATTTTGGTACCGCTATGCGCTTCCATTTTGGGAGCAGTATGCGCTTCCATTTTGGTACCACTATGTGTTTCCATTTTGGTACCCCTATGTGCTTCCATTTTGAGAGTAACAACACTGTACCCATTTTTAGCGGCTCATATGGCCCAACAGGGTCTCTGAAACTTTATGAATGTCTTGCCAAATGAACTCACAACAGCCACTGCCGCTAACAAACATACAAATTAAACCTACATATAACTCATATAACCAGCAACTACGTACACATATATGATATCCATGAGGGCAATGATATGCATAGAAAGTCAAGGGGTATAAAACGATCGCGGTGGAGGGGTCAAATGATCCTTCTAGACCAGCCTTTCCAGACCTTGCTTGAGGGTAGCATGATTTAATGTATCATTTTAAGTCCCACAAAAATCCTAATATAATTCCCCAATTTCTGGATTTACCAATGGGAAAGTAAAAACGTCACCAACAAATTTACTGGTGCGTTTTACGTAGGGTTGCTGGATGGGTTGCTGGGGGTTGCTGGGATGATGACATTACTAGTGATGAAATGGATCATTCCCGAAAATTCCCTGCGTTTAGCACAGCACCAGTAAGTTCAACAAACCCATCATCCAAGCACTGGGGCGAGATGCAATTCCTACAAACATCAGCATCGGAGCTGAACAATTGCCCGCAGTTATCGCAAAGCTTGCTGTCTCGAAAGCTGCCTGGACACTGATGGGGATATCCAACATGAGTGCTGGGATGATCTTGAGTGATCTGTGTTATTCTGCAAAAATAAATGACATTTTGAATGAGAGTGGATGTTTTTTCTTCATGATCTTTGATTGTCTTTAAGTAGTTATACATGCTGTTTGATGTATTTAATGATCTTTCAAACATCTTTGATTGTCTTTGTGGACCATGGGATTTCGAGACGATTTATACCCGTACGTTTAATCATTGAAATAGTAATCTCAGAAAGTAAAGATATAATTCTCAAAGCCTTGGATTTCCCAGTTTTAATGGTTAGTAGTCCC